TCGAACGTTTTCCTGCCAAAAGTCTTGATAAAATCTGGAATTCATTTTTCAATGACAACAATCCGTCCAGGCCCTGAGGCAGCAAAGCAGCCCCAAACCATGATGCTCCCTCCGCATACAGTGGGTGATGTTTTGATGTTTGGTGTGCTGTGCCTTTTTTTCTCCACACATAGTGTTGTGTGTTCTTCCCAAACAACTCAATCTTGGTTTCATCTGTCCACAGTATATTCTGCCAGTAGTGCTGTGGAACATCCAGGTGCTCTTTTGCAAACTTCAAACGTGCTACAATATTCTTTTTGGACAGCAATGGCTTCCTCCGTGGTGTCCTCCCATGTACTCCATTCTTGTTTAATGTTTTCCTTATTGTAGATGTGTCAACAAAAATGTTAGCATGTGCCAGAGATTTCTGTAGGTCTTTAGCTGACACTCTGGGATTCTTCTTTACCTCATGCAGCATTCTGCGCTGTGCTCTTCCAGTCATTTTTACAGGACGACCACGCCTAGGGAGAGTAGCAACAGTGCTAAACTTTCTCCATTTGTCGACAGTCTGTCTTACCGTGGACACATGAACATCAAGGCTTTTGGAGATACTTTTGTAACCCTTTCCAGCTTCATGCAAGTCAACAATTCTTGATCATAGGTCTTCTGAGAGCTCTTTTCTGCGAGGCATGGTTCACATCAGAGAGTGCTTCTTGAAACCAGTAAACCCAAAACAGGTGTGTGTTTTTTAAGGGCAGGACAGCTGTCAGCAACACATCCAATATCATCACACTGATTGGAGTCAAGGTTGGCTCACTCCTGGCTCCAATTAGCTCTGGGAGAAGTCATTAAGCTAGGGACTCACATACTTTTTCCTCCCTGCACTGTGAATGTTTACATGTTATGTGCAATTAAACCATGGCAACATCTAATGTTTGTGTAGTATTATGTTCAGCAGACTGTGTTCTTCTATTGTTGTGACTTAGATGACGTTCAGAGCACATTTTATGCCCAATTCATGCAAAACTCAACGTAATCCCAAGGGGTTCACATACTTTTTCTTGCAACTGTATATAGGCTTTTTTTGGGTGTGCTTTGAGTGTGGGCAAGGACATAGGAGCCCCATGATCCCCTATTGCCCAGGGGCCCCATGAGTTGTCAGTCCGCCCCTGGTGCCTACCAATGTTTACTATGCGTTTGTGATTTTACTAAGCAATGTGCCGGTTTTTTACTCCCTGCTTTGCACTTCTCTGCTGTCTGTAAAGCATCCTGTGTTGTTTAAGAACACAGAGCTCTCTTTTGTCATTCCCTTAGCCGATCAGCAGGTCTCGGCCATAAATCATCGGCTAGGACCAGCTAATCGGCTTGTGCTGCAGCGAAAGGCAGCTCAAATTTCTGGGTGTGCTTGCGAATGTGTATGCAGACCTGGAACAAAGCCAGGTATAGGTACTTTATGGTTGGGGCTCGGCAAGTGATTAACCCCTCGCCCTCCAGAGGATTTACCCCCCCCCCCCTTCTTGACCAGACCCTTTTTTGGGATACGGCGCTGTGTTACTTTAACTGACAATTGTGCGGTCATGCAACGCTGCACCCAAATGAAATTTAAGTCCTTTTTTTCCCCACAAACAGAGCTTTCTTTTGGTGGTATCTGATCGCCTCTGTGTTTTTTATTTTCTGTGCTATAAACAAAAAAAGATTGACAATTTTGAGGAAAAAAAAATATTTTTTACTTTTTTGCTATTAAACATGTCCAGTAAAAAAAAAAAAAAAAAAAATCTAATTTAGTCATAAATTTAGGCCAAAATGTATTCTGCTCCATATCTTTGCTAAAAGAAAATCCCAATGCGTGTAAATTAATTGGTTTACGTGAAAGTTATAGCGTTTATAAATGGCAGTATAGATACTGGGATTTTCGGTTTTTTTTACTAGTAATGGCGGCGATCAGCAACTTATAGCGGGACTGCGGCGGACATTCTGACACTACATACAAAGCAGTGTGCTTACATACACATAATGTGATACAGCACACAGTTAACCCTTTGATCGCCCCAGATGTTAACCCCTTCCTACCCAGTGCCATTAGTACAGTGTCCGTGATTTTGATTAGCACTGATCACTGTATTGGTGTCACTGAGGATGTCAGTAGCAGTTAGTCAGTTCCCACCCCCCCCAGTGTCAGAATGCCCGCCGCAGTCCCGCTATAAGTTGCTGATCGCCGCCATTACTAGTATAACAAAAAATTCCAGTATATACTGTATACTGCCATTTGTAGATGCTATAATTTTCACTTAAACCAATTAAATTAGACATATTGGGATTTTTTTTTAGCAAAGACATGGAGCATAATACATTTTGGCCTAAATTTATGACGAAATTTGATTTTTTAAATCTTTTTACTGGACATATTTAATAGCAAAGAGGTCAGAAAAACTGTTTTTTTTTTTCAAACTTGCCGGTCTTTTTTTGTTTATATCACAAATAAAAAATGCACAGGTGATCAAATCTTGTCTTTTAAGAAGAATTAGAGGGGGGCACTGGAAGAAGGGGAGGATCAGAGAGTCGGGATCAAACATAATTTTTACACATTGCAGAGGATTAACCCCTTAGGTTCCACAGTGAGTATAACAAGCATGCTTTACTGCATCTACAGACTGATTGTACTGTTGTGGGTTTAGTAACACTTTACTTCTTTGTTAGAGATAGATAGATAGATAGATAGATAGATATAGATAGATAGATAGATAGATAGATAGATAGATAGATGCGATAGATAGATAGATAGATAGATAGATAGATAGATAGATAGATAATAGATAGATAGATATGCGATAGATAGATAGATAGATAGATAGATAGATAGATAGATAGATAGATAGATAGATAGATAGATAGATAGATAGAAAGATATGCGATAGATAGATTTCTATAGATATAGGAGGGATTCTCTCTACAAGAACATCAGAGTGACATCATCCTAGGTGTCATTGATGAGGTCATAGATAGATAGATAATAGATAGATAGATGATAGATAGATAATAGATAGATAGATAGATAGATAGATAGATAGATAGATAGATGATAGATAGATAGATATATAGATAGATAGATAGATAGATAGATAGATAATAGATAGATAGATAGATAGATAGATAGATAGATAGATAGATAGATAGATATTAGATAGATGATAGATATTAGATAGATAGATAATAGATAGATAGATGATAGATAGATAATAGATAGATAGATAGATAGATAGATAGATAGATAGATATTAGATAGATAGATAGATAGATAGATAGATAGATAGATAATAGATAGATAGATAGATAGATAGATAGATAGATAGATAGATATTAGATAGATGATAGATAGATATTAGATAGATGATAGATAGATATTAGATAGATAGATAGATAGATATTAGATAGATAGATAGATAGATAGATAGATATTAGATAGATAGATAGATAGATATTAGATAGATAGATAGATAGATGATAGATAGATAGATAGATGATAGATAGATATTAGATAGATAGATAGATAGATAGATAGATAGATAGATAATAGATAGATAGATAGATAATAGATAGATAGATAGATAATAGATAGATAGATAGATAGATAGATAGATAGATAATAGATAGATAGATAGACAGACAGACAGACAGACAGACAGATAGATAGATAGATAGATTTCTATAGATATAGGAGGGATTGTCTCTACAAGAACATCAGAGTGACATCATCCTAGGTGTCATTGATGAGGTCACCCTGGGGCCTCTTGCAGGTCACCCCTCCCTTTAGTAAAGTTACACCTTGTTCCAATGTTCCTCCTCCACTCCTCCTGTTGCCGTCACTGTCTCTCTCACACCCAGTTCAGCTTTACAGACTTTGTTTCAGACATTCCATACATCTTCCATCGATCTGCAATTCTAGGACGACTTCTACTACGATGGCCCTTTTCGGAGTCCTCTATGTTCTATCAATGCTTACTGCTACAGGTATGTGGGACTTTTTTTGGCAAAGATTTGATGAGATTTGATTGGCTATATAGGAAAAACTAAGCCAGTTTCATCGCCTCTTATCTTCTCAGGCAGCTTTGGAAGTGTAAGAACTACTGAGACTCTCAGCATTACTGCATATTCCCGCGATGCATCTGAAAAATGCGTTGTGGAGCGTCGCTCTGCCATTCATTGTGAATAGTGGAGCGCAACACAGCGTCACACAAAACACATACGTATACAGCTAAATCCGCGTTCGGAAACACTTTTCAGAGGCGATTGATAGGCAGCGAGGAGCAAGGGTGGACTGACAACTCATGGGGCCCCCGGGCAATTGGGGATCATGGGGCCCCTGTGTCCTTGCCCGAACTCAAAAAAGCCTATGAAAAAGGTACCAGGGGCATCTCATGGGGCCCCCTACTGACCCCGGGCCCTCGGGCAGTGCCTGAGTTTCCAAATGGTCAGTCCACCCCTGGCGAGGAGTAAATTGGTTATCTTCTCAGGACCTGTTTTGACCCCATTTTTTGCCTACAAATGTGCCACGACTGCACGTAATTGTGAAGCATTTGCAGCACTTCCCCATTCACTTGAACCAGTCAGGTTCGGCAACAAATTTGTTTTGTTTTTGCAGCAGAATTAAATCGAAGAATCCACACCCCCATCCACTGCCATTGAAGCGTAAGGGGAGGCAGTTGGGGGCTGTCAAAAACTCAGCTCAGACGCGCATTTTTCCAGCCACCCCCCCCAACCATACATCTAAACTTAACATTACAGTGCATTGTGGTTTGCTGTGTTTTTATTTTATTTAATATTTTTTTAATTTATTTTATGTTGAATGCTCATGAATCTAGAATGTCAGAGAACTGTTACCGATGTAGACACGAAGTGGATGCAAAGAGGCTGTAGGAGATCAGCAACAAGAGATAAAAAAATATCAGCGATAACAAATCTTTTTATGTAAAATATTAATGACAGATGTTAAGAATACACAGTATCAGGGGCAGACTGACAACTCATGGGGCCCCCGGGCAATAGGGGATCATGGGGCCCCTGTGTCCTTGCCCAAACTCAAAAAAGCCTATGAAAAAGGTACCAGGGGCATCTCATGGGGCCCCTACTGACCCCGGGCCCTCGGGCAGTGCCCGAGTTTCCAAATGGTCAGTCCGCCCCTGATCTACAGGTGCATAAAACAACAATACGCAAAGCTTTGTCAGAAAAAAATGTCATCCGCTCTATGAATAATCCCCCCCCCCAATATTTCTGTTGTAAGATGTGAAAGTGGGGGGGGGGGGGGGGGGGGGGGAAAAGTTTGTCTATAAGAAATATAAATACCAAAAACAATTCAGCTGAAGAATCCTCTAGAGGGGGGCGGTAGCACGATGAACAAGGGGCCGACTGACCATTTGGAAATTCAGCCGCTGCCCGAGGGCCCGGGGTCAGTAGGGGGCCCCATGAGATGCCCCTGGTACCTTTTTCATAGGCTTTTTTGAGTTTGGGCAAGGACACAGGGACCCCATGATCCCCTATTGCCCGGGGGCCCCATGAGTTGTCAGTCCGCCCCTGGGATGAACATATCAAATGTGAATTCCACTCACCTATTTTCACATCGTGGGATTGGCCCTGTTCTTCTGATACATTATAACTGAACTTTGCAAAACAAATTGGCTTCATTTTAAATCGTTTTATGCTTATTTTTTTTTTTTTATTTATTTTATTTTTAGGACATTCTATTTCCTGTCAGTTGTGCGTGTCTGCAGATAAAACGTCCTGCTCCGGGGTAAACATCCTCTGTCCTACAAATTACGTCTGTGGAATGAAGCACACCAACATGACCATAGGTAGGTTATTATATTCTGTTCACCTCAAATGATTTCTTTTACAAGAGTAAGTTGTTATTTAATTTAAAAAAAAAAAAAAAAAAATATATATATATATATATATATATATATATATATATATATATGTATTTACATATATATACACTACATTGCCAAAAGTATTGGTCGGCCGGCCTTTCCACACACATGACCTTTAATGGCCTCCCAGTCTTAGTCCGTAGGGTTCAATATTGAGTTGGCCCCGCCCTTTCCACACACATGACCTTTAATGGCCCCCAGTCTTAGTCCGTAGGGTTTAATATTGAGTTGGCCCCGCCCTTTCCACACACATGACCTTTAATGGCCCCCCAGTCCTAGTCCGTAGGGTTAATATTGAGTTGGCCCCGCCCTTTGCAGCTATAACAGCCTCAACTCTTCTGGGAAGGCCGCCCACAAGGTTTAGGAGGGTGTCTATGGGAAGGTTGGACCATTCTTCCAGAAGCACATTTGTCAGGTCAGGCACTGATGTCGGGGGAGGAGGCCTGGCTCGCAGTCTGCGCTCTAATTCATCCCAAAGGTGTTCTATGGGGTTGAGGTCAGGACTCTGTGCAGGACAGTCAAGTTCCTCCACCCCAAACTGGCTCCTCCATGTCTTTATGGACCTTGCTTTGTGCACTGGTGTGCAGTCATGTTGGAACAGGAAGGGGCCATCCCCAAACTCATCCCACAAAGTTGGGAGCATGAAATTGTCCAAAATGTCACCTTAAGAGTTCCCTTCCCTGGAACTAGGGGGCCAAGCTCAACCGCTGAAAAACAACCCCACACCATAATCCCCCCTCCACCAAACATTACACTTGGCACAATGCAGTCAGGCAAGAACCGTTCTCCTGGCAACCGCCAAACCCAGACACATCCATTGGATTGCCAGACAAAGAAGTGTGATTGGTCACTCCAAAGAACACGTCTCCACTTCTCTAGAGTACAGTGGCGGCATGCTTTACACCACGGTATCTGACACTTTGCATTGCACTTGGTGATGTAAGGCTTGGATGCAGCTGCTCTGCCATGGAAACCCATTCCATGAAGCTCTCTACACACTGTTGTTGGGCTCATCTGAAGGCCACACCAAGTTTGCAGGTCTTTAGCTATTGACTCTGCAGACAGTTGGTGACTTCTACGCACTGTGCGCTTCAGCATGCGCTGACCCCGCTCTGTCATGTGACGTGGCCTACCACTTGGTGGCTGAGTTGCTGTTGTTCCCAGTTGCTTCCACTTTGTTATAATCCCACTAACAGTTGAGCGTGGAATATTTAGTAGCCAGGAAATGTCACGAATGGACTTATTGCCCAGGTGGCCACCTATCACGGGACCACGCTTGGAGTCACTGAGCTCCTGAGAGCGACCCATTCTTTCACCAATGTTTGTAGAAGCAGTCTGCATGCCTAGGGGCTTGATTGTATACACCTGTGTCCATGGAGGGGATTGGAGCACCTGAATCACATGATTTGGAGGGTGGGGCCAATACTTTTGGCAATATATATACACACACACACACAGGGGGTGGACAAAAATATGGAAACACATGATTTGCATGTATTAAAGTGACAACATGTTCTGTTTTGAGAGCGGAAGTGATGTAACATGCTTTTGCTTCTACTGTGTGATGAGACACCTAACTAACAGGTGGAAAGCCCCACTTTCATCATTCACTGCATGCGCTGCTAGTATGTCAGAGCTTACTGGGTTTTAAGAAGGCAAATTTTAGGTGTCGCGTAGCTGGTGCCTCTGTTGCAGTGGCAGTAGTACTAGTAGTAGTAGCATTAAATACTAATAATTATTATTAGTAGTAGTTGTAATAATAATATTTAAATAATAATAATAATAATAATCATTATTATTAATTAATTATAATATTATTTATAAGTAGTCGTAGCTGTAGTGATCGTAGTAATAGTAGCATAATAGTAATAAATCCTAATAGTAGTAGTAGTAATAAATAATAATAATAATAATAAAAAAAAAAAATAATTATTATTATTAGATTAGATGTGGTAGTAGTGGTAGTAGTAATATTAGTATAATAATAGTAATAATATTTAGTATTTACATTATTAGTAAGTAATAATAATATAATAATTTAATAATTATTATTATTATTACAGTAGATGTGTAGTAGTAGTAGTAATAGTAGTAGTAGTAATAATAATAATAATAATAATAATATATTTATTATTATTATTGCTTATTATTGCTATTATTATTATTATTCTTTTTCTTTTCTTGTTCTTGGGCTTAGATGTATTAACATGCAATTTTTGTTGTTGTTTATATTATTTATTTTTTAGTATGATCTAACCATCCCTTCCTCCTTTCCTCAGGTGGAACAAGCACTCTCATAGTGTACAGAATGTGCTTACCCCCAGATCAGTGTAACATATCTGGAAGTATGACAGTTCCCAATGGTACGGTACAGGTTGGCATGTCTTGTTGTTCCAGTGATGGTTGTGATCCAGAGATGCCAAAATGTAAGTGTCACTTCAAAAAATGGAGGCATAACAATGGGAGGGAAATATGGATAGCTGTCCAGGGCAGAGAAAATCAGGGGATCACTATTAGTTTATTAAAAAAAATGTTATCTTTGCTTGTGAGCTCTCATGTTTAACATTTTTTCTTGTATTGCTACTGTTTGCACAGGTTAAACATACCAAAAATAAGTTCTATATGAAAAACTCCACTTTTATTAAAAAAAAAAAAAAAAAGATATTTTCATTTATATACATAACAGGGGCTTTAGCAAACTTACCTGCTCTTTTCCTGAAAACACTGAGACAGGGTTAAAGGTTAACAATTGTTTAATAAATAAATATATAATATATCTAAATATATATATATATATATATATATATATATATATATACATATATATACAGTATTTGGGATTTACTAAAACTAGAGCACTCAGAATCTGCTGTAGCTGTGCATGGTAGCCAATCAGCTTCTTACTTCAGCTTCAGATTTTATATATATATATATATATATATATATATATATATATATATATATTTATATACTGTATATATATTATTATTTTTTTTAGGATAGGGGAGGATATGTTTCAACACCAGAAAACTTTAAACCTTTTATTCTTTATTTATTTCAACAGTGTCAAACAATGTAGATAACAGCACAAATGGAATAACTTGTCGGTCCTGCCTTACGGTCAACTCTGACTGGTGCTACACCCCCCAACACCATTCGTTGTAGTGGATCTGAGACTAAATGTGTTCTGCAAACCACACAAATAACAGGTAGCATTAAAGAAAAAAATTTTTTTTTTATAATAACAATTATAAGAATATTACTTTCTACCCCCCGTAGACATGAGATGGTGGTCTGATTGTAGAAGCTGGTGCCTATTTCTAATGGCCAATTGGGAATGTTTATACAGACACCCCTGTGCCAGGTTTATCTTGGGGGCAGCAATATTAATTAGCCTTGCAGATTTCAAGTGTACTGTATGTCTTCCACCAGTGAGTATCTCCTACAACCAGTGGGTGCCTCCTGTGGTCAGTAGGTACCTCCTACAGCTGATGGATCTTTCTTGCAGCCTGTGGGTGTCTCATGGAGTTTGTGAGTGTCTCTTGCATTGTGGATGTCTCCTGCAGCCAGTGGGTGTCTTTTACTGTTAGTAAGTATCTCCTGCAGCTGGGGGATGTCTCTTACAGTCAGCAGGTTTCTCCTACAGTCAGCGGCTGTCTCCTAGAGTCCATAGGTGTCTCCCACAGTCTGCAGGTGTCTCCTAGAGGTAACAGGCATTTCCTAGAGTCAGCAGGTGCCTCTTACAGTTAGTGGGTGTCTCCTAGAGTCAAGAGATGCCTTCTACAGTCAGCAGATATCTCCTTCAGTCAGTGGACATCTCCTACAGTCATCGGGTGTCTCCTGCAGTCAACAGGGGTCTCAAAAAGTTAATAGGTGTCTCTTTGAGTTAGTGAGTGGCTCCCAGAGTCAGCGGGTGTCTCCTAGAGTTAGTAGGTGTCTCCTACAGTCAGCAGGTATCTCCTAAAGTCAGCAGATGTTTCCTACCATCAGTGGGTGTCTCCTACAGCCAACAGGTGTCTCCTACAGTCAGCAGGTGTCTCCTACAGTCAACGGGTGTCTCCTAGAGTCAAAAGGTGTCTCTTACAGTCAACGGGTGTCTTATAGAGTTAGCAGATGTCTGCTAGATGTAGCAGGTGTCTCCAAGAGTCAGCGGGTGTCTTCTAGAGTCAGCTGCTGTTTCCTAGAGTCAACAGGTGTCTCCCACAGTCTGCAGGTGTCTCCTGGAGTTAGCAGATGTTTCCTAGAGTCAGAAGGTGTC